TGGGTGGCATAAATGGTTAAGCATTTGGCTACTAACTGAAGAATGGCAGTTGAAACCCACCCAGAGGCACCTCCAAAAAAGGCCTAGCAATATGCTTCCAAAAGATCACACCCATGATAACCCTATGGAGCGTAGTCCTACCACGCAACCCATGAGGTTACCGTGAGTGGGGATGGACTCAACGTGACAAGTTTTTGTTGTTTTATTGTTGTTGTCCTTTTGTTAATTTCCAGGCACTGACAGGTGGCCTCTAACACCTGATTATCACAGGTCTAAACATAACTTTCAAGCTTGTTTATCAAGTTGTTTGGTTCTACAGCCCTATCTGCATTCCAGAGTTTTCTTTTCTAAATGCAAACATTCATTATGCTGCCCTATATATGAGTTTGTTAAACTCTATTACAGTCTGAAATATTCTAACACTACAAAGTATTCATCCAAATCTTACAGTCTGTCCACACAGCATAATTTTAAAGTAATATCATACCTACACAAACTAACTGCTTGGTACACTCTAGCCCAGTTACACCGTGCTATTACTCAGCACACAATGACCTGCCGCACAAGACACATAGGGAGTTGTGTATATTACTAACATTGAATTAAGATTCAGCTAATTTAATTTTGTGGACTTCCTTGTAGAAACCTTATGATAAATTCAGCCCAATTCAGAGCTACAGAACTTTAAATTCTTGGGAAAATGTTTTGAAATTGAACTTACTTTGATAAGACATAGAATATTCTTGACGTGACCTTTCCAAAACAGCGTTAAGCAACACAGACTTATGAAACAAATTAAGGCTGAGACGAAGAAGATGGGGAATCAACACAATGAACCAAAAGTGTATTGGTGATAATAACTCTAAGTCAAAGCCTATATTCTTATGTCCCTCATTCAGTTTTGGAGATGCCAGTTTTTTTTTTTTTTGTCTGGTTTGCTATTAAAAAGGAGTATTTCTTGATTTGAATTCCAAATTCTAATGTGTGCATAATTAGATTTATGTGATCGTCATTTGTATATATTTGGAATGCTATCTACTTGAAGGAACATGGCACCAAACTTTTTACTAGTTTTTGTTTTCTTATTACTCTTCTTTAAGTTATCTCCTTTGCAAGTTCTAATTTCTGTATGATGGCTTTGCTTTATTTTATTGCATTATGTGAAAATATACACAGCAATGGATATACCATTTCAACATGCACAATTCAGTTACGTCATCATTCCTATCCCTTTCCAAATTTTTCCACCGACAATAACTTGTCACTGTCCCCCAAGCTTCTCATCTAATCTTTTGAGGTGCTGTTGTGAATTCCAGCTCACATTGATAAGTCTTTGAAAGAGCACAGTACTCAAGGGAGGCATACTTTACTAATTAAGCTAAACTGTTGTTTGATTCAAAGTGGACTTCTGGGAAAAGTTTTGGCTTGAGGCTTAAGGTATAAAGATTACCTTAGGGCAATAACTTTGGGCATTCATCCAGCCTCAATGGCTCCAGGTCTGCATTTCTTAATGCAACTAAATCTTTCCTAGTGCAGCCATTAATTTTCACAAACTTAAAGTGGACTTGAATGACCAAAAATGGATACTTTGCTAATCCTAATACATAAACATGCTTTGATTTTCAGGGACCCACTCTACCATTAGGAGTAGGTGGACCTGGTGATCTCTTCCATTCACAGCCTCACCAGGTTCTCTTTCTAAGATATAAAACCAAACCCAAACCTACTGCCATCAAGTTGATTCCAACTCCTAGCAGCCCTATAGGACAAAGCAGAACTACCCCATAGGGTTTCCAAAGCTGTAAGTCTTTACGGAAGCAGGTTGCCTCATCTTTCTTTTACGGAGTGGCTGGTGGATTTGAACTTCTGACCTTCTCAGATAGACATGTATGAAAAAGAGGATGTGACAAAGAACTGAGTGTAGTGTTTGGTGAGAGACAAATCAATATCAGATGCATCATATTAAATGTTTAAGTGAAAAAACTAACATTATTGAGTACCTCTTAAAATTAAGTATTGTCAAGGGTACCTTCCCTTCATTTTTTATTTAATTCAATGTTGTATTCATTTTGGTTGTTATTGTCTTTAATTCTCACATTGCCTCTGTCAAAACGGCATGAGTTCCACTCTCCAGGAGCTTACCTTTTCCATTTTCTGTACAAGGTTCTCCAATTCTGTGAGTCGGTTGTGTTTTTCATCAAGCTTTTCAGCAACTTGATTCAAATTTTCAACATGCTGTTTCAATGTCTGTTCTTTTGCAAGCTTATTAACCTTTGGTTAGAAAAACAGTTGTCAGATTCTTGTTTTTAATAAAGCTATACAAGCGTTATCTCCTTCTATAATTTTCCAACTAATCAAAAAATTAATAATTCACAGTTGTTTAGAATTACTCTTTGGAATTCAGTGTTTTCTTCAGAATAAACCTGATGGAATATAAGACTGATAGATCAATAGAAATGGATAATACATGAATATTGGTCCTAGAATGTTTACATTAGTAACCATCACGTATGGTACCTTAGCAGGTGTAAGAAAGAGTGAGATTAATTAAGACAAGCAAAAATTTTCACTTTATTGCAATACAATTAATCTAGAATAGAAATAAAATCTGTGTTCAACTAAAAAAGAAAGATATCTTTTTGATCAGAGAAAGTGTCATAAAAGCAGAGTAATTCTCACTGTGTCGTGGATTATATCCTATCACAGGAGTGGAGCTGATAGACTGTGGCGGAGAAGTCTCCCTTTGGCCGCTCATGGGCACACTTGGGAGTGTTTCTACTGACTTCTATAGAGTGTGCGTGTGCACACATGCACACACAAGTGCGTGTATTGATTCCCACCCACTGCCATGGAGTCAATTCTGACTCATAGCGACCCTGTAGAACAGAGTACAACTGCCCCCATAGGGTTTCCAAGGTTATAAATCTTTATGGAAGCAGACTGCCATATCTTTCTTCTGGTGGGTTCAAACCACCTATCTTTTGGTTAACACGCAAATGCATTAACCACTACTTTGCCACCAGAGCTCTCTGCATTGAACAGAACTCTGAAATCACACTTTAAAAGAAAAAAAGTGTCTTGCTCCCCTTGACAATACCAGGTGGGCATTCTGGTCTGACAGCTCTGCTGGGATTGAGCCCCTTTGAAGGAAGTCCCATCCCTGGGCCCCACTGCTCGTTCACACAGTGTACTTCCACTTCTCAAAATGCCTCGCTTCACTCGCTCATGTTCTCTATCTGCATCCCACATGTATTACCTTTATGCCCAAAGCTTGAGGAGTCTCACCTATGCAGTAGACTTCCTGCAGTGCTCTCCTGGGGATCTTCCTGGAGCCAGAGCTGGCAGAGCCCCAGCTGCCCCCCAAACCCAGTGAGAATCAGCTTCTTCCCTTCTAACTGTTCGATGTTTCAGTAAAAATACATCATACACATATGCTTTTCCCCCCAGTCTTAGAGTATACTCTCCAGATCAAAACCAAACAAAATATGTGTGTGCATATGTTTATATATGTCATATATTTAAAAAAATATCTTTTATATTAATTTTATTTAAGACATTTAATTTCAAATATATATATATTTAACCTAAAGAATGAGAACTACCTGCCTGAACCAACACTCTTTCATTTTAGAAATAAGAAAACCCAAGTTCAGAGAGGTAGAATGACTAACGTATGTCATCTCATTAGTCAGAGGCAGCGCCTGAAAGGAGTCACTTGCCAGTTTCGCTGAGGCCAGCCTTGGGTCCCATGTGGGTGGTACTGCCTCCTTCCCACCTACATTCTCTGCAGGTGGTCTGAGCAGAGTGATAACTGAGCACTTCAGCTTCATCTGAACACTGGACTAAAGAGGCTTAGTGGTTAAGTACTTGGCTGCTAACCAAGAAATCAATGGTTCAAACTCACCAGCTCCTCTGCTGCAGAAAGATGTGGAAGCCTGCATCTCTAAAGATTATAGGCTTGGAAATCCTATGGGGCAGTTCTACTCCATCCTGTAGGGTCACTATGAGTCAGAATCAACCCAAATGCAATAGGTTTGGACTCCTGGTTTTTGGGGACAAAAGACATATACCCTTCCCTCTCTAGAGTTTGCCAAGTGGCTTGCCCACTGCTTATCTCACATCAAATTCCTCTAAGAAGAAGGACATGAATGAATAGGGGCTTTAGTTCTCCAAAAACAAGCTGCTAGCTCGGTACCTGGAGTGAGTGTTTACTGTCCTCATGCTTTTTTCTAGCTTCTTCAGACTGACGTTGATAGTTTTCAAATAATCTCTGGGCCACATTTCTCAGAGCTGCTGCTCCAGCTTCTCTGGAAGCTTCCAGCTGGGAACGAAACAGCAACGTGCATGTATTGGTATTTATGCTAAAAAGGGTTAATGGTAGAACAGTTTGATGGGCATCCAAGAACGCTGAGGTGGTAGCTATATCATTTGCCCCATCACAGACAAGGATAGGAGAAAAGACACTTATCTCATATGAGGAAACAAAGTCAGAAACCCCTATTTAGTGAAACTGCCAAGGCAGCCACATTGGCATTAGCCAGGCCAAGCTAGAGTCCGCAGATGTCACTGTCCTCCAGTTACAACACCCTTCAAAGAACTCACTATGCCCTGTCAGCTTATCACACTCACTTGCAAACATTTTGTCACTGATGTTTATAATACTACTAAAAAGTGTATTGTCCTGAAAGAGAAATGGGACAAGGTTGGAGTATTATGGACAGTGAAGCTGACGTGTCATGAATCTTTCAAGGTTTTAACCTAAGGAAATAATCAAAGACAACTGCCAAGATTTACCTACCAAGATATTCACTGCAGCACTGAATACAAAACACACACAAAAGGAAAACAGAAAATATCCAGCCACAGGAGACAAAGTAAACAAATAATGAGACATTTGACTAAGAATGCTGTAATTCATATTCATTAAATATGGAAATACATTTGTAAGGTTTTTTTTTTTAAACATAAATGTAGTCTCCAAAATAAAACAGTGAAATGTAAATTTGATGAAATGTGAAAATGCATCTGTACGGTGAGTGCACTTGTGTGAATCTGTGTGTGGATGTTGCTCTACTTGTCAGATCCATGAATGCTAACAATCTATTCTATTGGCTCAAAAGCTCAATATGCAAAATGAGAAATTTCTCAAAATGATCATACCTTGATTTTCAGTACTTCATTTTCTTTGTTCATTTCTAAGAGCTGTAGATCTTTTCCTCTCATCCGTTCCATGAGCCCATCAAAACTGCAGCAAGAGGGGTGCATTTCACGTTCAGAGCCATTTTGAATGTTTGTACAGTGCTGAAATGAACAAACATGAAACTAATAAACCCAGCTATTCCTTTCCTCTACAAACTTTGACAACAATAATTATTACCCTATGATACACATATCAGGAGCTTTGTGGGACACTGGCTAAGGCATTCAGCTGCCAACCAAAAAGACAGTAGTTCAAACCCACGAGATACTCCATGGGAGAAAGATGAGGCAGTCTGCTTCTATAAAGATTTACCGCACTGAAAATACTATGGGGCAATTCTACTCTGTCTTACAGGGTTGCTATGAATTAGAATCATCTCGATGGCAGCCAGTTTGGGTTTGGGGTTATTACATGTATCGAGGAGGAATCAGATCAGCACAAAGAAAATAAAACTTTAGAATATTAATTCAATGAGGAATGG